AGTTCACACAAAAAATATGGAATGCTTCTCAAATTTGGGTGTCATCCTTGCACAAGGACCATGCTAATCTTCTCTGTATTCTTCTGATTTTAGCATATGTGTTGCCAAATCGAGCACGAGAGTTAGCTTTTTGATTGCTGATAATATTCTGAATACAGTCTTATCTGAAGTAGTACAAAATACCAGGAAAAGAAGCCATAGAGAAAAATATCTTCCAGGAATCCTCTCCAAAAAAGGGAGGAAAACAAACATGTCTCCTTAAGGGACCAGAATTTAAGACAAAGCCTGATTTTGTACATAGCTTCTGAAATAGTTCAGCCTGAAAAATGAAACCAATAAGGGGAATTTGATACAGGAAATAACAGGGATTAGAAACATTAAAAGAGCAAATAGGGAAAGGCAAGGAAAACCAGAGATTAGCAACCACAGCCAGCTGCTTCACCCCTAGGGATGGAAGGATTAAGGAAGGATGTGTTCTCCCTGCTTCCCAGAAACACAGGCCACTTCATAGAACTGCAGGCCAGAAAGGCGAGATTCATGGGGAGGAATGGTTGTCTGATGGGAGCTGGAAATAGAGAAGAGAAGCAGCCCCTGTTAGAGATGCATCCTCTTCCTCCCAATAAGAGAAAGGGGGACAAACAACCTGGCTTTTCCTTCTTTTCACTATTATTGCTTCTTGGTGGCTGAACCTATCTTGGACCTACTGACAAAAGCCTGAAAAATACAGTTTGCAAGGCCAGTTCTCCCATCCCCCAGAGATGCAGAATGGTGCAGAGGAGAAAAGTGGAAAGCAAACAGACAATGAATGGCATATAGTTCAAAACCACCCAGGAGTCGAGGTATCACTAGTTCAGTTTATTTGCCTGTATGAATGCTGACTATGTCTCAAATACCGTGATGAACACATATTCCTCTTGCTATAGTAAATTACATGGTCAAACCCAACATTAATGGTGCAAGGGGGTACACTCCTATTGCTCTAGGAGAGTCCAGCAGCCAGTTAGGAAGTAACGGTGGATGAGGTGTGGAGTAGACTACAGTTCCAGTGATGGAGGGTGAGAGAGCATGGCATGTCGGGGGAATGGCATTACCATGGAAACTGCCTCCCTGAAAACACAGAATTCCCTGTGTTTGTGACCAATGAGATAAACATTTATCTCTTATGACTTTAAGGGTTTTTTTCCCCTAATAAATAGCACCATA